TTTTTTTGCTACAAAATTTGTAATATAGAATTATAACGTGGAAGAATGGCATGAATTGAATGCTGTCAGAATGAGAAAGAAAAAAATGAAGAAAAATGAGGGAAAGGAAAGAGAAAAATATTAATTAATATCAAGCAAACAATTTCCTAAAGATTCAATGAAAGACACTACAACCGAAGTGTCCCCACTCCTGTCCCCTTTTTGAAAAGGCGATGTGACACTTTTCTTCTTCTTCGAGATTACGATGCTATTATTATAATGGAGGTCATCATGTAGCTCCTTTTGCTTTCTTCCGGCTACCTCTGACCCGCCTCATATATTCTTCCAGTAAAAGCTTTATGGATTAAGGAACTTAAAAGCTTTTGCTTTTGCTAAGCATAGAGGTAAGCTATTAATATTTTGTTATTATGACAATCATTTCCTTTCCAAAACAATTATCTTTTCAAGAGTGTGCTTTTGTATTGCATATGTGTTTGTGTGTGTGTGTGTGTGTGTGTGTGTGTNNNTGTGTGTGTGTGTGTGTGTGTGTGTGTGTGTATGTGTTCATTTGTTTGTTTATTCCATGCATCCGCATATAATAATCAATTTTATCATAAAAATAATAATTTACGGTACAAAAAAAAAAATTTATAAGATGAGAAATTTGCTCAAAATATAAATTCAATTTTGAAAAAAAAAAGGAAATCAAGTGAAAAAAGGTACTAAATGAAATTAAAACAGAAAAACGAGCAAAGGAAGAAAAAAATGGTCAAGTTTTTTGACGAAAGCTAATATTCTAAAAAAAAAAGAGATTTAATTGATTTCTAATCTGCCAACATATGATTTTTCGTTTTTCTTCTTTTTTTTTGATTATTTTTCTTTTCTCGCTCGTAAATTTTAATATTACATAATAGTTAAAGTATACAATTATCAACAAAGTAAACAAGAAAATACGCAAATATTAAAAATTTTTATACAATTTTGTTGCTTTTCTTTTAGATTTCCTTTTCCATTCGGTGAATTATTTGTGACAAATTTATAAAAGCATGTATTTAATTAATTACAAATTAATATCTCTTCTCGAAATTTAATTTAGCCATTAAAAGTTTAATATTATAAAGCTAACTAACCGCATACTATTAGTTGTTTACCGCAAACAAATGTCAATTTTACAGGTTGTAATTTATTGCTTTTATTCAGTTTTTTGCTTTAAGCATAGGGTTTAATCTTTTAGATTTGTTAAAATCTCTTGTTTGGCTTTTTTTTGTATAAAACTGGCGTGGTATGTAAATAATTTGAATTCAGATGTAATAACATCAGTTTTATGGCATAAAATACATTTATGAATTGCTAAATAGGAAGAATATTTAAAATATAATTAAA